TAGGAAGGAGAAGACGACGAGGGGGAGGAGGAGGAGAAAAGAAGAAGAAGAAGAAGAAGAAGAAGAATGGCAGCTAGGGTTAGGGCGGGGATGGAGGGAAATGGCGGCGCGGTATGCCGTTAGGGTATGGCTGTCGAAGAGGATGAAGAAGAAGAGTGTGGGCGGAAGAGGAGGAGGAGGAGAGAAGAGAAAGGAGAAGAAGACGAGGGGTAGGCGGAGGAGGAGAGAAGAAGAAGAAGAAGAAGAAGAAGAAGAAGAAGAAGAAGAAGAAGAAGAAAAGATTACGAGCGGAGCAGGGTTCTTTTTTTTTTCTTTCACCTGCCGTTCATCTCGCGACCTATAACGAACGAATGAAAAAAAAGAAAAAAAGAAAGGTGGCGAAGGTATAAGAGGAAGAAGAAGAAGAAGAAGAAGATGAAGAAGAAGATGAGAGGGGGAGGAGGAGGAGGAGGAGAGAAGAAGAAGCAGAAGAATAAGAGGAGGAGGAGGAGGGAAGAAGAAGGAGAAGAAGAAGAAGATCAGACCGGCAGTCCTCGTCGACGGGGGGCGACGGGTCACGGCGAACGCGATGGCGATGGCGACGGGCTACGGGCTACGGGCGACGGATCTCCCAGGCGATGGCGACGGGCTACGGGCGACGGCTCTCCCAGGCGATGGGACTCCCAGCTGCTTTGACGAACTTCGGACGCAATGACGAAGGCAGGCGGCCGGAGGACAGGCCCCGTTTCGAAAGCCGATGCGGACTGCCTCAGGCCCTCCGAAAACATTGCTTTTCCCTCCAAAAACTAACGGCCCTCCGGCCGTCGATCGTGGATGATCGACGGCCGGAGGGCTGTCAAAAATTCAAAAAAAAAAAGCAGGCCTCACGGGCCCGACGCGCCGTTTTCTTGGCGCGGTCGGACCTGGTAGGCCCTGCCAACAACAACTGGACCCGTTTCGGGGTCGAAAACCCCCCGCCGTGAAGGTGTGCTGAGGGGGCCCAGCCCCCAACCGGGGTGGGCCAACCGGGCCGCCCACCCGGCCAGGCCGCCCGGGACCTCCCCCGGGCAGGCGCCGGTCGGCCGGGCGGCCCGGATCCGTACTCAGAAAAAAATCTGAAAAAAAAAATGTTGTGTAGAATTGCAATACAAACAACTTTTGGCTGAGGGTCACATCAGAATTCGTCACAGAACTAAAAATAAAAAAGAAAATAACCATATCACACTAAGGCACCCCCCTTTAAACCCCTTTAGCCCCTTCAAAATTCATTTACACTCCCCTTTTCCCCCCTTGACAGCCAACACTCGAAAAAGGAAAAGAGCCCGGATTTGGGCTCCTCTCGGAGAGCGCAGAAAAAAAAACACCTCCTTTTTTCTTTTTTCTTTTTTTTTTTTTTTTTTTTTTTTGCCATGACCGGGTCACCCGGGCGTCAGACCCCCCCGGGAATCACGCCCAGGTGGCCGGCCGGTCATGAAAATCTTCCTAGAACTGAACAGCTTTTGCCTCAGGGCCACGTCGAAATTCTTTACCGAATTTAAAATAAAAATTAAAATCCGACCAGGCAAGTTGCCCTGGGCGGTTTAAGTGGCATCTGAGTAAGTCAGATGTCGGCTCCTTAAAATAGCGTTAGGGGCAGTGGCGTTCTAAGTGGCATCCACCCTTAGTCGGATGCCTACGGTCACAACACTTTCGGCATGCAATCAGCATGCAAGCTACCGTCTTCACCCGAATAGAACGCCCGGTCATTATAGCTGCATTTGGCCCAACTTTCAGTCCAGATGCAGCGATAATGACCGGGCGTTCTATTCGGGTAGGGAGAAGACGGTAACACTTCCACTCGCCCAAAAAAGTTAGGAAAACAGAATACCAACGAGCAAAGGTCAAGGCTTGATCAACAGACCGTCATGAATCTTATGGACCATCTCCACTGATCGGTACCCTCCCGTACATCTGTACGTCGGAAACAGTACCCTAGTAAGCTGTGGCAACAAGTTAACAGTGTCAAAGTTGTTGCGAGTGTGCAATGAAACATTCTGCTGCCGGTCCCTGACATCTGTGCTCGGCAAGTCTAGATCTCTCTGTCTGTCAGGGGGCGAGGTAAAAGATGTGTTCACTCTGTTTGAGTATCTCCGTGAATGTGTTCTCTGGAGGCGATGCGAATGCGAGGCGGATAATATTCATCATGGTTGGGGATGGTTTTGTGCAGGCTAGAGTACGAGCAAAGGAAGGACACTCACACTCCCTTGGTAGCAATTCAAAAATCAATTGAAGATGGAAAGGCTGAGATTCAACGGCTAAAGGAGGCTGAGTCAGTTGCCAAGGCAGCCATGGACACCGTCAGGAAAGAGCTGGACACCATGCATGTTGAAATGCAAGGTTGCCCCCCCCTCCCCCCTCTCTCTCCCTCTCGCCCCCCATCTGTGCCCACCCTCTCCACCTCCCTCTCTCTAGCCCCTCTCTTCCAACTGCTTCCTGCTCCTCTCCCATTCCCTAATCCCTCTCCCCCCTTTCCCTTCCTCAACCCCCCACTCTCTCTCTCTCTCTCTCTCTCTCTCTCTCTCTCTCTCTCTCTCTCTCTCTCTCTCTCTCTCTCTCCACTCCCACCTTCTCTGTGTGTGAGTGAGTGAGGGACGGAGGGAGGGATGTCTTTCTCGTTTTTGTCAATCCATGGTTGGATAGTGTGCCTGCTGGTTGTAGTTTTGAGGCGAGGATGGAAAAACTTGTGCTCCTTCAATGACCAGTAACGGCCAGTAAGTGGCAGGAAGTCTAAAGGAAAGTGTCCACATTCCACGTAAACATACCCATGAACTCGCCTTTGTTTTGTTTTCTCGTACCCAAATCTTCACTTGCAGTTTCCGTGCATAAATATACATCAGATTACACACACACACACACACAAATCATCTTTTGTCATGAATGGTATCATATATTAATAATATTACCCCTCTCCTCTATCCTTGCAAACTTCTTTGGAGCTAAGCTGATGCAAGGTTGATGTGACGGTTGTGACATGGAGTTAGATTTATGTTACAACTCTTAGGAGTCTATAAGATAAGCTACTGTGTGTGTTGGTGCATTTTCAGTTGACCGACAGCAGCCACGCACACTGTTCGGCAAAGCAGTAGTTACTGAAGAACGTGTGTTTAGGGCATCATACCCTGCCGTGTATGGACGGCGGCACCCTCCGCCACAGGAACGAAGTATCGTAACCACTACAACCCTTGGAGGTGTTATAAAACTGGATCCATACCGGTCGTGATATCCAGCCCACCTCCAGGGCTGTAGCGTCCTTGAACTCACACCACGCACTCACACACACCACACCACGGACATGGCAATCCACTCACTCCGCTCGGACAACACGTAGCCCCACCACCGCTACTTAACCTGCTCACTCTTGCGGGCCAACTGCCTGCTGGTTCACAGGCGCCTTTCACAGTAGTTACTGAACAACGTGTGTTTAGGGCATCATACCCTGCCGTGCACGGACGGCCTCGAACTGGCACCCTCCGCCACAGGAACGAAGTATCGTAACCACTACAACCCTTGGAGGTGTTATAAAACTGGATCCATACCGGTCGTGATATATAGCGTCCTTGAACTCACACCACAGTTTTGGCACACTTTCTTTTTTCTCTGTGATTCAAATAATTATTTGATGTGATTTGTCTATTCGGACTTAATCCATTCCCATTCCCCCATTCCGATGGATCGAACTCCACCTGCTGATGGATTCGAACTCAGGTCTGTATTTCGTATTTTCAACAGTTCATGGTTGTAGCAATTGAGCTAGGCCCGCGGCTGGCACACTCTTTTAGTGCAGTGTGTGCCGTGTATCTCACTTTAGCCGCACACTCAATCTGTCAAAGACTGTGCAAATGCTTTCTTTTCTTTGGGGGGGGGGAGGGGGGGGGGGGGGGTGGGTTCAAGACCTTTTTGAGCTTTTGTGTTTCCTAGCAACGCTCTCCACACCCCGCTTGATTTCAAAGTGTGCTAAGTTGCGAAGATTTCTGAGCTGAACAGTGTTCATAAAAGTTCAAGACAGATATCAAGCCATTCGACTTTGAAGCTCAGTTTTGAATCGATACAAAGTTCGAGTAATAGATCTAGGAATAAAACCAATTGTCTCATAAGCTATTGAATCAATATTAGTAAGAATACCTAAATGAAAAGTTTTTTGTTTTTTTGGATTTTTGGCAGTCCCTACCTATCTCTTTTTTTTAAGTTTTTTTTCCTTCTTTTTTTTGTCAAGCCTCTCGTCTATCGATGGGGAGCTGCACCTGATGCTTGAGAGATGGTTCATGGAAGGCCCGAAATTTGGGGGTTTTGGCCGCATCACCACAAGCAATGTCGCCGAAAATTTTGTGAACAAACAATGCAGGCGCATAATACAAACATTAAAAAAAAAACGAACAGGCAAAAAAAAACGACCAAAAAAAAAACTCGAAAACACTATAAAAGTTAATAAAACCCTAGCTTTTGGAGTAGCTTTCGGAGTAGCTTCCGGAGTAGCTTCCTGAGTTCGCCAAATTTCACCAAGTACGTCGAAACTGAATACGGATATACCCTAAAGCAAATACATATGACACACACACACACGCACAAAAAAAAGAAAAAAAAAAGAAGCAAAAACTCAGGGAAATATGGCAGTTTTGGTGAAAATTTCACTGAAAATGACACCACCTATTAACCACTCATAGTTGAAGTTATTTCAAAATCTCGTCTTAGCAATGTTAGCATGGTGGACAGCTTGGTCATCATATTAGTAGAGACAAACATACACACATAGATAACACACAGCCACAGCACCATGTTTTATGCCCTTCCATGTTCGTTTGTCCCCCAGCTGTACAACATGCGGCCCCAAACGCTGAGGGCCTGGAACATGATCATCTCGGACTGCATTTAACCCCGCAAGGCATAGACCACACGGGGGATTTGCAAATGGCTGACCAGGATCATATGGATGAACCGCATACTTGTGCCCCACCCTGTGTGGCCCCGAACGCTGAGGGACTGGAACATGATCTGCTTGGACCGCATTTAATCCCGCATGGTGCAGACCCCACGAGGGATTTGCAAATGGCTGACCAGGATCATATGGATGAACCGCATACTTGTGCACCACCCTGCGCAGACCCCACGGGTGATCTACAAATGACTGACCAACCAAACCAGCCTGAGATCCCCACCAATCTCTATGGTCTGACTGCAACTAATAGCTGCCTTCACATTTTCAATCGGCCGTTGTATACGCCATCAGATTTCCTTGCAAGTGCCCTACAGCTTGATGTTGATCTCACTAATGTCGCTGATCCCCCCGACCTACAGCCAGAGCATCGTAATTACACCAGGGAAGGACGTTTTACCATCGCTGTCCTAGAAATAGCGATGAGGAACCGCCGGCTTGGACTACGCCATGCTCTACCAGGTGAGTTGTTTAATCCTCCATCCCACATCTCTGCCTGCATTGTGCAYGGGCCTGGCCATTACATGGCTATTGTACACGCCTCTGACCATTGGGAGGTGTGGAACGACGGTCTCATGGTCCATGCCATGATTGATATTACTGATTTCTTACTCTATGATGCTGTTCTCTTGCCACATCAAACTGTCCGCAATCTCCTTTTTGTCGAAGGTCATTCCTCTGCCACCGCAGTGCAGCAGTACAATGTACACACACTATGTGACCTTCTCCTTTGTACAGCCACAGACACTGTTGCACTTGGGTGTACTCCCCATCATCTTTGTCACAATCACTACCATGAGATGGTTTCTGCATCCATGTGTGTACAGGATTGTCCCTCCGTTCCTGACTGCAGGCACCCTCCTCATCCGGACACTATATGTCCATTTTGTGGCCACGAACGCTATGCTGAATGCATGCTCTTTTGTGGGGGGCGTTCTTCCTTTATTCTGGCCTGCAATAGACATGCTATTTGTGAGGAATGTATGGTTGGCATGCTTAATGCCAGCCGTTGTGCCAGTTGTTGTTTTGAGAATGCTCAGTTAGGTCTTCCATGCGCTCATCCACCCCATCCTTACAATGTGTGTCCTTTCTGTCGTCAAGGACAGCCTCATTCTTGAGCTTTTTCTTGCCCTTTCCTTTGCCCTCTTCCTCATTCTACACTCCGTATTTTCCCTCTTCCATTCTTTGTTTGTCCTCTCTCTGTCTCTTTTCCCTGTGTTTAACACCTTCCCCTTCACTCTGCCTCTCTCCCAGCGTGCAAGTGGGCTGTGATGGCATACGGGGATGCGGGCAGCTCGCGCTCAACTTCATCAACGTGGCGAGCCTTGCATGTGAGAGGCACAGTGGAGGTGGAGTTCAAAGAAGAATGAGAAATTTAATGGTTTCAATCTGCCCTTGCTTTTTCTTTTTGTTTTTGTTTTTATTTTTGCAATGTGCCCGTTTTTTGTTTTTATTCTTTGTTTTGCAAAGTGCGCTCTTTTAGTTTGTAGTTATGTGACAATATATATATATATACAGGGTTGCCAGGCCGAACGTACGGAGGCCCTTAAGCTGACCCCCGAACGTTCGGGCGTTCGGGTCCCCGTACGGGGCCCGAAGTTGAAGGGGTTCGGACCCCGCCAAAAATGATTTTGGCACCCAAATGTTATTATTTTTTTCTGAATTTTTTTTTGTGAGTTCTTTGTGATGTAAGGTATCCCCCGCTTAATTTTGAAGTCATTCTGTTCAGCCAAAAAAAAATGAAAAATCCTCAAAGGTGGTGGTGTTGAAACTCGCTTGCCCACTCACAAATTTGTTTTTTCTCTCTTTTCACTTTTTGCTTTTCCTTTATTTCGGGGCATAAAACAATTTTATTATTTTTTCAAACTTTATTCGTAAATTCTCTATTATGTAAGATACACATATATAAATTTTCATGGCATTTGTTACATCCAAAAGAAAATGAAAAATCGCCAAAGATGGCGGTGTAAAAAACGTGCTGTCCCACGCAATAATTTAATTCTCGTTTTATTTTTTTTAATTTTCATTATTATTATTTATTTTTAGTATTTGATTTTTATTTCAAATTTGGTAAAGAATTTAGATATAACGTTGAGGCAAATGTTGTTTATAACATATATATTTTTCAGATTTTTTGGAATTTTTTTTTTTTTTTTTTTTTGGATCCGCGTTTGGCCGAACGACCGAACGCGTCGAGAGGGGGTGCCGAACGTTCAGGCGTTCGGCCCGTCCCGA